TGGGGTTGCAAAATCCTCACTCGGGTTCCGATGAGATCAGGTTACAAATCCCTTACATCCAACTTTTAAATCAATTAAAAGTTATTTAAGCATCAACTCACTAAGGGTATCTTCAAAACCTATATTTTCTTCATATATATGTATATATATATATCGAAAAGTTATCTTAGATAAATATATATAAGATCACTCCTTGATAAAGCGGCCGGAGATTCACTGTATTTTAAGACAAAGCAGGCTATTCTCAGCACACAGCTGTACCTGTTTGGGATCTTAGCCGCTGATAAATGCCACCATCTCATCTAATTTTTCCTTATTTTTCATTTTGTTGTATTTAACGCCTTGGCAATCATTGAGCTTTTGAAGGTCTGAGATAAGTGTCTCCTGGACTCATCCTGTTCGTGAGTCTATCTCTGCCCAAGTGTCGGGTTGCTGGGCTCATGAGAGAAGCGAGGAGAAGTGGTTGTACCACTCGTTGCTGGTCTATGCGTTAAAATTGAATGCATAAGAAGAAATTCGCCCATCTTTTAACAACAGTTTGACTTGATTTGACCTTTCTCTTTTCATTGCCACATTTTGGCGGACCGTCGATAGAGAAGACGCGTAGAATCTCTTGCAAAACCATCGCGCCGGCAACCCAACGCCGTCAGAGCCTTGCGGCTAACTTGAGCTCGACAAACAACTTGGTCTCAACCATAACGACGACAGGCTCCAGTAAGTCCACCTCCACGGAAGCTACACGCACGTCTCAAGGCTCGGTTATGACTCGCCGAAAACGGCTATCCATCGCGTCTGTTTCCGTGGCAGCTGAGGTGAAGACAACCACTGCCAGTGTACTCCTCCTTGAGGCGGAGAAGAGGCTAGCCGCAGTAACGCATATGGCACAACAACGTCTCCAATCGGCACTGTTAACGATTGACGGTCTCGCAGTGCTGGCACAATGGACAGACGGTCGAGCGAGGTGGATGCACGAGGCGGCGAACCTGCTGAAGGACCAACTGGCCACTAGTGATGGGAAACTGAGCGATATGCGGCAAAGGTTGCAGCTTGTAGAGGCCGAAATGTGTAAGAAGAAATAATTGTCTTAAGTTGGGAGGAATTATTTGCAATTAGTTTATATGAAATCCGTTTATTCCTAAGTAGGAAGAGAAAACTACCTATAATGGTTGATATATCGACAAAAGGGTGAAAAGGAGGGCGAGGAAAACAAAATTTTCATAGACTTTGAGATAAGATTCATTTGGGAAGGATGGTTTCATGGTAACAAACTAAGTGAATATTCGGATGAAAAATACACGAAATAAAATTGTCCATTTTTGACGATTGAACAGATATTACCATATTTATATTTTTTTTTTAAGGAACGCAAGTTTTGGTTACCTTGAATTGGTGCCTTTTCAAACATTTTGCCGACAAAAACAGATGCTTGGATCATGATTTCGGCAGCTTTCGTTGGTGAGGCTGCCATAAAAATGGGGCCGGTCACGTTAATAACCCCTCGAGTATGATTGTTAGCTCAATGAAAACGGTAGGCCAGTTGTACATAGTGATTTACTAGGACAGGAGGAATCAAGTAATGGAGGCTGGGTGAAGTAACCAAGTTGGATTAGAAGAATTTGAAGAGAGGAAGGTAAATGAGTGGTGAAAGTGAGGACGCTTGGGCATATGAAATGGGAATGAAAGATGCAGATAATGCACTCTCGATAGATATTGGGTCTTGATAGGGAAGAAAATAGGTCATGAGTCTTGACTTTGCTTGTCACTTTAGCCAATCCCAGCTTGGTGATAGAGATTGCGCTTCTGACACACGAAGCCGAGTAAATGTCTGGGAAAGTACCTAGTCGATCATCTGTCAACACTGGCAGAGAACGCAGCACAAGTTTCGTTATTTGAAGTCTCCCTGAAAAAGCGAGGTTAAAACAAATCTCAACAAGCCTTTGTTTCTTGCTTGTGTTCAAGGTTTCGCCCACTTTACACAGCCTTGTTGCCTATTTTTCGAGGCCGAGTCGAGTTCTTGAACCTTACAATAATTCTCTTCTGGCAACGTTGTCTTACGTCTCCTAGTTTTGGGCTTCATCCGTTCGGTTGGACTCAATCCACCCATTTCGAGTGAAATGGAAGTAAGCTCAATAATTATGAAAAAAAGAACTTTTCTTCGCATTTAGGTCCCTTAAATTTGAGAATATGTTTAATTCAAAATAATGCTTTGTTTACAGTTCTGACACATGTTATTTTTTCCCTCCTGATAAATCACTTTCATTCACTTCATCGTTGAATCTAATACCATTTACGCCACCGACTCCGCTATCACTGCAACCATTTCCAATATCGACGCTGAAGCCGATGCCAGCGAACCCTCAACTGTGTGCATTAATATCAATGCCAACCTCATTGGCGCAAACGCAAAACTGCCTTCACTGCTACATCCTTTGTCATCAACATTTCCCTCATTATTTTTAAATATCCTCATCTATTTTAAAAGCCAACTCTCTGAAACTCCAAAAAGGACAAGCCGATATGTTTGCAGCGGAGCGAGAACAACTTCAGCTAGAGATATCCAATATCGCAGCAGCCTGCCGAAAAGAAGAGGAAAAACTAGCTCATTCGAGACTTGAGCTGTCGATGATGACGGAGCAATTGAACACAAGTAGTTTGTGGTATTTTAAATGATTTTTAACAACGTCATAGCTAGTTTATAATCTGTGGTTCACCAAATAGCCCGAGAGCTTAGCCAAATATCACGTTTGATGATGCCGTGCACTTGATTACTAATTCTTGAAAACTCATAATGTTCTCTGTATAGCCACCATTTTTTCAGATCACTATTTTATCTTTCACTAGTCCAACTGTTAAATCAAGTGCTATGATCCATATTTAAGATTTGTAACTCCTCGAGAGGCCTATGAAGTGGTCGCCAGAACTACATCACCCGGGCCTTGACAAAGAATTATCCCCACGCCTGAGAAGCCCAGCATACAGCACTCCTTTGCTTAAGTCCTGTGCCCAGATCCATCAAAACACAACCGAGCATATTACACCTCCGATCGACATGCCCGCAAAATAGTCACCTTCCTGATACATCTTCAAAAGTGCAAAGTACATACCTTGGTGATTAGTCTGGTTGTCTGAAGCTCACATTCCTGCTCTGGCTATAGATGCATTCGTTCACCCTTCGATGATCCTCAGCTATAGTTGCACTTGAGAACCGACCTGACTATATTTTGTCCTTAATTTGAGTTTCATTTACTGTGACCTCCTATGCTCTTTCTTAACTTCTGCCTATAAATCTTTCCTTTTATGGGACAATTCTCTCTTGACAGAAACTCTTTCATACCTCTGAATCGACTTGTTATCCATTCCTTGCTTCTACTGATTCGCAGAAAATCTAAATATGTTTAATTTCCGGTCTTTCAGTTGCATACTGAATTTAAGGAATGTAGACGTTTTGGAAATACCTACATTTTAGCCTAGCTAGGCCACAACAGATCTTCCTTCTTGCCCATAACCTTTGCATAGTGCGATCTCATATCTTAGAATTTACTGTTACCAAAATTATGTGCAACTATTATTGCTGTATTGGCACTTAAGTCAACTCTTTATTAGGAGTAAAAGAATATCTCATTAGGACTTATTTGTCACCATCCACCACTCATTGTTGTTTGGCGCTGCAAGGCAGGGGTTGCTTTAGTAGTCTCGCCGAATGCAGAAAAGGCTTGATTTCACTTTATGTGATCCTCTTTAAGGGGTCTTCTAGCCGTAGAAGTACTTCAGGCTCCGCTTCATCCTGGTATCTTCATTAACAGCAAGCTGAAAATCTGGTTATAGGGTACAAAATTGACTATACTTAATCGGTACAGGCACACTTCAAGCTAATTCAATTATACCAGTTTATGAAACTGCTATTCATATTGATAACTGTAGATAAGGTGTCTGCTACATTGTAAAACTGCCGGGCTTCATCATTAGTCTCATTTACCCCGGTGTTCCAGTAAGCATTGCCGCAATTTCTGAATTTGTATGCTTTTTGGGGTATTGATCTATGGATCGTTGAACGCACCACAACGTGATTCATGAAATCATGCCTAGAGCCTACTTGGCCGATTTATAAGGTTTCGATCTGATTTCTCCTTTTTTAGACACTTTGCTTCACATGGTTCACAAGAAATTTGTTCGTGATTAGCTTATTTATTATCCTTCGTCTGATATGGCCTACATTGTTTTAGACTTATTTCACCGTCCCATGTCTCTCAAAATTTCAACTCTGCATAAAATTCCGTTACATTAAGATTTCCTTGAGCCTGTCCCTGGGCTTATCAAATACTAAATATTTTCGTAAGAAAGTAGGGTTTCGAGACTAAATATTTTCTTTTCCAAGCATGATTGGCTCCCAAATTTGATTTCTATGTATGTCTATCTGCCTAACCATGCTTCAGAGTCATTTTACCCTGATGGTTTGCATATCAGTGGCTTATTAGATTCGAGGTTTGGGGGAGTGGATCCTTGTTTTTTTACAAAAGTTCATGCACAAACCAGGACCATCGAGATCTGCTTCGGGTCATTGCGATCACTTTTCCGTCATTTTTGAGTTCAAATTTCTTGAGCTACTTTGGCTTTCAACGGATTGCTTGATACTTTTCTCATTGGTTTGTTTGCGCCTCGTCAGTTATGTTGTCCGAGTAACCCAATCAGCCAATGC